ATATTAGAGTATTGTTTTATTCACTTACTGGTAGATCTATGTTTTTTATGTTTCATTTGATTTTTTTTTTCCACTGGAATTGATTAACAGATCAATTGCTATAGTAACTTTGAACTTTAGTTCTTGCAAACTAGCAAATTTATAATTAAAATCCCCTTTGTCATTAAAGAGCTTAACTTGTGCATAACTTTTTGGTTCAGCAACTTAACACATTCTGAATTTAATTAACAACTGAGTTACAAAACACTATCAACATCTCAAATGATTCAGCCTGCTTTTGCCTTTTTTTTTTTGTGCTTTGTCGCACATCCAGAAAAATAAATATTTCTGAGGATTCTGAAGCTGAAAGATAAGAACACAAAATACAAATTAATCAAGGTTTTACTAAATGCTGCTACTTCCTAATCTTGGATTGGCCATGCTTGTACTATATGCTAGCTCTGCACTTTTATTTGGAATGGTGTTCTGTTCCATTAAAATATACAATGGGTTATATTTCAGAAGCGATACAAGTCAAGGAGACCAATTTGTGCAAGCTTAACAAATATCAGCTTGCTTTATAAAGTGTAGTACTAATGTAACTCCAATTTAGGATGTAGAGCCTCAAAACCAATCTGAACCTGACAATCATGACTTTCCTTTTGGTACAAGGAGTACAGTCTTGTAAATAATTTTTTCGTTTAATGAATTATCAAACACTTTTCCTAGTGGCATGTGTGTAGAGAATATATACCAATGTTTCCATCACACAATATGACCATACATTTTTACAATTTGCAATAAAACTGCTCAAGAGTACCCCAGTATTGGAAGGTCCTACACTAATCTTGCCCTTTCCTTTTTTAAATGAATTTAGGTAATGTTTTAAAATAATGAAAATGTTTTGTCACCGATGACATCCATAATATATACAGTATAAGCAGCCCCTTGCTAGCATTTACCCATTGATTTTTTTTATGGCCAACGGAGGCAATGTAATGTCATGGTTAGTTGTAATTCATGTAAATTTTGTATTTTATGTTTTTTCAATTATTCATGAAATATAGTCATTTGAACTAAATGATAATATGGTGCTTGGAATGTCCCTTTAAGCCCTTAAGGACCAAACTTCTGGAATAAAAGGGAATCATATGTCACATATGTCATGTGTCCTTAAGGGGTTAAAAGGAATTCAATAACAAGAGATATTTTAGTATTCATCTAATCTACATAAGTATATATAACATGTATATATAAAAAGAAAAGTAAGCTACATCAAGAAGGTTAATGCAGAGACTTATGTAACATTAAGTAACAGTGCTGATTTATTTATTCTTAAATGGGGAAAATTTGCATTCAGAACACTAAGGACAGCACAGTTATGCCACCAATTAAAAATGAGTCGGCTTTTGAAGTGAGGAGGCAATTCACTACGGACTCTGTTATATGAAAAATTACAAAACCAAATGCTACATTGCGAAGTTTAAAATGTTACATGTCTTTATTTGGCAGCTCTCCAGCATAGGAAGAAATATGTTATGATTTCTCCTGCCTTTCAGCCCGTGGGAGCAGTTTTTATTTTCAAATTCTGTAGTATTTTCTGACTGCAATACAGGTTAAAATATGAATCATAATATACAGTGAAACTATTGCAGATTGAAAAAAAAAATGTGTGTATTAAAGTTGCCAAACCAGAGTAAGATATTAAATTGTATGTGATGACTGTAAAAAAGATATACCATCATTATGAAAAATTGGAGTGTTTGTACTGCTCTAATGAAAAGGTTAGCAATTTAGTTACATAAGAAAAACAAACAACTACTAACAATAGAAGTGATGACACTTAACAAGCTATTAAAGTGAAATCTCTTATGAAATTACAAATAGGGAGAGATATTATGTCCTTATGCATCTGTGTGTAAAGCACATAATAAAGCTTTACGATGCAAACTTTTACCCACTTCTGTCTCGCCTCTGTTTTCAGTCTCAAAGGGTTATTTACTAAGCTTTCTAAGCCCTACTTAGACTTCCATTCTACATGTCAGTCTGACTTATGTAATTCTCCCATTGCAAAAGTAGACTAACATGTACATAAAAGAGCAGAACCCACACTATACTTCTTTTATGTACATCTTAGACTGCTTTTGCCACTCTTTCCATTCATTCACCCTTTTCTATTATAGTGCTCCTTATAATGATACCAGACTAGTCCTTCTCTATACTGTTACTCCCGCTTTCTTATTTATTTATAGCTCCACCGTTAATAATTAGTTAATAGCCCATAGATGGGTGTTGGTGAGGGCACTATTTGCCCTGCCACTTTCTTAATTTATTCATAATCCCCCACTGTGGGGGCACGAGGGAACTGTGCCACGTCTTCCACTTAATGTATTGCTATTGCTGCCCAGTCACTCAAATTTTGACAGCAGGCAACCAGTGACTGCTCATTGTTTACTAGGCATGTCACTAACAGGCATATTGGCCCCCATAGACTATTTCATGTTTAGTTTAGGAGATATTTCTGGTGCACTAAACATAAATAGGTCATTGAACTCATTGGCAGGAGGAAGCTGCAGTAAGCAGAGCCTTTCTACGTTCATGAACTTTGACATTTAACATGCTGAGGCCTGTAGAGTCTGAGATGTAACTCTTGTGTGCTTTGCAATTTCTCTGAGCACTGCATGGTCTCATTTTGGGGTGACTTTGCTGAGACATCCATTCCTGGGAAGATTGGCAACTGTCCTGAATGTTTTCCACTTTTGAAGAATCATTCTCACTGTACAATGATTTACTTTAAATTGGTTGGAAATGGCCTTATAATTCTTCTCAGTTTCATGGGCAGAACCCATTGCTTCTCTAAAACCGTTGCTGATGTCATTCCTCCTTGGCACTGTGTTAACACATGAATACTCCAGACCAGTAAACTGCTAAAACTTGGTTACACTTGCTGATGATTAATTAATCAAGGGCATTATTTGATTGGCAGCGCCTGTCTGCGATTTAGCCTCTTAATTCCTATAGAAGCAGTAAGCGTGTACTTTTCCACACATGACTTCTCCATGTACTCTCCCTAAGCAAAAATGGTAATCCAGATGTGAACCCGTGCTAACTATGCCTAGAGGAGTATCAGCTACATATCGCCAAGAAGGCCGAAATGATCGTCCAGTGTGTCTGTATCTCTCATGCAGAGAGAACTTGCTGGCATTTTGGTACTGATTGATAATGAAACAATTTATTAATTCAGGTTGCGTCAGTTACAGCCAGAGAAGGTGTGGCTAAGACTGCATTGACAGAAATAATACTGCCTAAACTCCTAAATTGCGGAAAAGTGAACATTGAGGTTACAGAGGAATGATCTATACACTGAAACTGCTCAATTAAGTGGTCTGGGTCCCCCTGGTTTTAACCCTGCTGCTGAAAACATATATATATGTTTCATTGAGGGTTAATCCAGCCGATTAATCCAGCGATTCTCAATGTGAAAATCACACTGAGATGATGCTGACGTCCATAGGAAAGCATGGAATAATGCTTTGCTATGGGCAGTTTGAATGCAAGCTCGGCTCTTGCCGCACATACGCATTCGGAGCTGGCATCGGCAGGGGGAGGAGAGGTCACCAGCGCCGAGGGAGCCTGGCGCTGGATTAAGGTAAGTGGCTGCAGGGGTTTTAATAACCTTATAGTTTGTTTTCCTGGCACTATATAGTGCTCCTTTAAAGTTTATTAGATGCTTAGAGTATGCATTTAAATCACTTTGTTTATACAGCCCTAGTCACACATCCCCTGCACGTGACTTACTCAGGTTTCCTAAGCACTTGCTGTAAAGAGAGATCTAATTTAAAACTTCCTTTATGGCACATTCTGCTTAATTTAGAAATTAATAGCCTGCTAGAATCTTGAGGAGCCTCCTGTGTGAATAAGCAATTTACAAATCAGGATATTAAAACATCTAACATAAGTTAACATCGTATTGAAAATTAAACCATTTTATTCATGTACGCTGTTTGAGTTATATCAATAGAGGTGTGGATAGAGTTGCATGGACAGAAATAAAAGTGATTTAACTTTTAAATGGCAGAGAATTGACTGCAGGGGGCATGAGCTACACACCTAAACTGCTTCATTAAGCCAAATTAATTGTAATATCCTTTATATAGGGGCTTCTGGTGAGGAAAAAAGCCCAGCAGATACCAGGTTAAACGTCCAATTATTCTGAAATGGTCAATCCAGGTTTGACCATTTTGACCAGGGTACAAGTTAAACCATTCTAAAATGGCTTGACCTACAATAGATGTAAATTGGGGGTGTGGTTGGGGTTGCAGATCTTCCTGTAGTGCTTGAACAGTTGTGCTTTTGAACATAAAGTGTCCCTTTAGCAATGTACCAGCTTTATTCCCCTGTTGATGACCAGACATTATATCCAATTCTTCTGTAAACATCTGAACTGTGTAAACTTGTTAAAGAATGACACATTATTCATGGCTGTGACAGTTTGTTTTAGTATTCTCTTTGAGCATCTGCTAATTATATTAATTACTGCAATTTTGTGGCAATTTATCCAGGCTGAAAAAGGATTAATTTGTATCGTTTGATCTAATTTCTGGGAAGCTAATACAGTGCATAGCCATGTACGCAGATAGATTTGGCATAGTCACATTGTTATTTTATAATCCTCTATGTTGTTTATAGTAAATTAATAATAGGCTGTGTAACACAGGATAGAATGCACTCACCAATTTTCAATGACAATATGAGTGATGGTAGATTTAGTAGAAAGGGAGCAAGAGGCAGTAAATATCCAAACTCTATCTACACTTATTCCTTATTCCATCTAACAAATTATTTAGCTGTGCCTAATAAATCAATTGTCATTACACTTATTCTTTCTGAATTGATCATGTGAAGACATCAGATATATGCCAAATATACTGTAAATGTTGGCATTATCTTACAAGGATGCATATTAGCAACTATTTACGCTAATTATTGCTTTAAAAAAAAAAAAGTGAGTGGTGTGAACCATGATCTCCAAGAAGTTGGCTGTTTGTCATTTTAGGTTTTCATTATATTTAGGGTCCAGGACTAAAAAGGAGTTCACAGTGTTCAAGATCCAGAAAACCAGGTATTACGCTTATCGGAGTCAAAGAAGTGGTGAAAGATACTACAGGAAAGATAAAAGAAGTGATGAAAGATACTATAAAAAGGTGAGAAGGAAAACTGTTATTTATTAAGGATACTCACAGACGGTCCAAACAAGAAGACCAAATGTGCCATGAAATCCATGTCAACTACAAGGAGTGCTTTAAAGATACCTTTGGTTTAGGCAAGCTTACATAGTAGATAATTCTCTTAATTTTTTATTTATTTTAGATTTGTGCAGAACAATTCTACTTTGCTCCTGTATATATCAGCATTGTGTGCTCACTACAGGGTGTATTAGATTTGTTGATAAATTTACATAGTAGTATGTTATATCTTAAAGAAAGAGAGGCATCAGTGAAAAAAAAAATCTAAGCTTAAAGCAAATTATGATATATGTAGCAGTAGTATGCTTAAACACATATTTTATACCTATAATTATATATATTACATGTAATTATATGAAATACATTTACATGATTTTGATATTTCATGACAATAAGCTATTTCATGAAAGACATGGAGGCGAATGTTGTGCTTTAACCCTTTCTTCCAACAGCAGCAAAGAAAATAATAAACATATAGAAAAAAAGCTCAAATGACCTATTGCCAATTACCTGTTACATAATCCATTACAAAGCCTGGTCCAGTATGAAACCTATAGCACCAAACCATCCCCGAACAATTTTTGCAGTGTGGCAAAGAGACCACTGCCATCAGGGAACACAACTGCCATGTCGGAGTGTACGTGGTGTGCAATAATCTATACATGTCAAAGTAACATCCACATGAATGGCAGGACCCAAGGTTTCCCAGCAAAACACAATCCAGAGCCTTCCTAAACTGTTTCCATATCTTGCCCAGATAAACAGTGCAAACACACCTAGTCATCCACATGATCTAAAAGAAAATGTTATTCATCAGACCAGGCAACCTTCTTCCATTGCTACATGGTCAAGTTCTGATGCCCACTTTCTTATTGAAGGCACTTTTGGTGGCACTCTGACCAGTCTGCAGCTACACAGCCCCATATGCAGCATACTGATGCACTGTGTGTTTTAACACTTTTCTATCATGGCATCCACTAAGTTTTTCAGAAGTTCAAGCTTCAGTACTTTTCTGTGTGATTGGACTAGGTGTCCTAGTTTCACTCTATATGTGCATCAGTGAGCCTTGGGCACCCATGACCCTGATGCCGGTTCACCAGTTGTCCTTCCTTGCACCACTTTTGGCCCTTTTCACAGTCACTCAAATATTTTTTGCTTGCTCATTTTTCCTGCTTCCAACACATTAAATTAAAGAACTGACTGATCACTTGCTGCCTAATATATCAAACCCCATAACAGGTGCCACTGTAACAATGTAATCAATGTTATTTACTACATATATTTTTATGTTATTTGAAATGACGTCTCCCTTATTGGTAAATTGATAATATTTTAATGGTCCTTAAGGGAATTCATATTTTATGGGTTTTTGTTTTTATAACATTTATGTTTTTTTTTAGTATGGGGATTATATTTAGTTAATCCCCTTTCTTTTACAATTATGTGTGAATTAATTTTTTTATCTGTCTTTTTTGATTGTTATTTAATTTTAATGTTTTAAATCAATCAATCTGTTATTAATTTCATTTTCTGTTTTACATGAACGCTTTAGGTTATTAAACTCCACTCTCTGATAAAGTAACCCTGAGGATTTACGAAATGCGTTAGGTGAGGGTTTTTTCAAGAATAGCATTGCTGACTTGCAGCACAACATTTCCGAAGGAGTGCTGATACCGCCTCTCATCTGACCTAGGAAATTCAGACCAAGTGCTGTAAAGCATGCTGGTCATAGACTACACAGACAGCTTTTGACTTGTCTCCTCTCTTTTTTCTGTGGCTGGCAGTGATTCCTGCTGCTGACAGTATACAGGGACGGTGTTCTTTGAAAGGCATTCCACTGCTTACATGTTGTGAGTGTTTTTAATTAATTTCATAAATCATTTTGTCTAAATTTGATACACTATATTTGGTCCACTCTGTCTTATCTTTTGCAGATTTTATCAAAATATATGTTCCTGTTGCTCAGTACCTCATTTACGGTTGAAAGTGACTTGGGTGAATGTGGATATTTGACACACAGATTTTTATTACCATTGGCACAGTACTTTATAATTATAGCATTAGGTTTCTAAGCTGTGATTGGACACTAAGTATTTATCTAGAAATGTTATGCACTAATTATAGCTATTGAGCATAGTTGCTGATCTTTTGCTCATACATTTATATACATGTATTTTTATTTTTTGGAATTAATATTGTTATTTTAGCTATTCCTATTAACTTTTATAATGCTAGTTTTATGCTATACCCTGTCCAGCACTAATTAGTTAATCTTCCCCAAATCCCTTATAAATGTATGTATATATATATATATGATACTACACCTGTCAGTGGTTTTAATTGTGGTGTGGGGTGTGTTTGTCAGTGGGTAGTCAATTCATTGCTAAACACAGATCTGCACACACCAGTCAAGTCATAAGACTTTCTTTTCCTACAGAAATTTTACATTTGCAGTGATGATACTACTGAAAGGGATTCTGGTTGGGCATCTGGTTGAGGATTGATGGGGCCAAAGGTCCCTTTTCATTTAACAAGAAGCTCCCATCAACTGACTATGGGTTGGGGCAAGATTGGGGGACACTAGATTCCCCCTGTTTAATAGAAAGCCCCCACCTGTGAATTTCAAACCCCTCCCCCCCTATTTTTTTCAAAATTGAATAGCCCCCTTTCACATACCACAAATGGGGCAGGGAAGTGGACAGTGATCTGTTGATCTCCATTATTTAATAAAAATTATCATTCACTTGCTTTGTAAATATTCACAACTCTATACTTTGTACATGGTTCAGAAGCAAAAATCACAGATTTTAATACGGACTCCAAATGTATTTGGTCAATTGGTGAACACCAAGATAAGCAATAAGAGAATTACAATTCCAATCAGAATTTGGCCATTTTCACCGGATTTTGTTAATTTGTGCAAAATCTGGTGTCTAGCGAATAACTCTATCAGGGTTCTTAATCAAGAGACTGTACTGCCGTGGTCAATGCCGCATGACTCCTCCCGGTCCTTTCGGGCTCTCCTCGACAAGCAGGGTAAAAGCAGCTCCATCACCCCCACCTGTCACAGCTTCCCGAACCTCACGGTACCTTAGGGAACTCTCTGAGGACACTTTCAAGCGTCTCCCCCTCCTCCCTCCACCCGGAACAGCTCCAGGGGCTCATTAAGCCCGTGAAGGTAACAGCCCTCGCGGCCACTTAGTGCTACCCCACAGGCGGCTGATTGCTGCTCAGTTCGCTACTTCTTTAGCTTGACTGGGCTCTCACTCCCATATGCTTAGAAATACATATTTACATAGTTACATAGCTGAAAAGAGACTTGCATCCATCAAGTTCAGCCTTCCTCACATTTGTTTTTTGCTGTTGATCCAAAAGAAGGCAAAAAAAAAGTTTGAAGCTAGGAAAAAAATTCCTTCTTGACCCCAGAATGGCAGTCAGATTTATCCTTGGATCAAGCAGTTATTACCCTACATTGAAAGATTATATCCTTGAATATTCTGTTTTTGCAAGTATGCATCTAGTAGCTGTTTGAACATCTGTATGGACTCTGATAAAACCACTTCTTCAGACAGAGAATTCCACATCCTTATTGCTCTTACAGTAAAAAAAACCCTTTCCTTTGCATTAGACAAAATCTTCTCTCTTCCAGTCTAAACGCATGACCTTGTGTCCTATGCAAAGTCCTATGTAAAGTCTGGTTTGTGACTAGATTTCCACACAATGGTTTGTATTGGCCCTGAATATATTTGTATAATGTTATCATATCCCCTCTCAGGCGACATTTTTCTAAACTAAATGGGTTTAAATTTCTTCATAGCTGATATGTTCCATTCCTTTTATTAATTTTGTAGCCCGCCTTTTTCTAGTGCCATAATATCCTTCTTTAGAACAGGTGCCCAAAATTGCACAGCATATTCAATATGTGGTGTTACCAGTGATTTATAAAGAGTCAAAGTGATATTCTCGTCCCGAGAATGAATGCCCTTTTTCATGCATGACAATACCTTACTGGCATTGGCCACTACTGATTGACATATTGCATAGTTTGTTGTCTATAACAATTCCCAAGTCCTTTTCGTGTGTTGTTATCCCTAATTCGCTTCCATTAAGGGTATATGTTGCTTGTGTATTCTTTACACCGAAGTGCATAACTTTGCATTTTTCAACATTAAATTTCATCTGCCATTTGAGTGCCCAGTCCCCCAGTCTATCTAAATCCCTCTGCAGCAAAGTAATATCTTGCTCACATTGTATTATTTTACAGAGTTTTGTGTCATCTGCAAACACTGAAACATGACTTTCAATGCTGTCTTCAAGATCATTTATAAAAATGTTAAATAGAAGGGGTCCCAGAACAGACCCCTGAGGGACACCACTTGCCACCTCTGTCCAGCTTGAAAATTTACTATTAATGACAACTCTTTGTACTCTGTTTTTAAGCCAATGTTCTACCCAAGAACAAGCATTTTCATCTAGACCGATTTCCTTGAGTTTGAACACTAATCTATTGTGAGGAACCGTATCAAATGCCTTGGCAAAATCCAAATAGATCACATCCACTGCAACACCCTGATCTATACTTCTGCTTACTTCTTCGTAGAATGCAATCAGGTTAGTTTGACATGACCTGTGCTTCATAAAACCGTGCTGATTTTTGCTGATAACCATGTTCTTCTCAAGGAATTCTTGAATATTATCCCTTAATAACCGTTCAAATATTTTCCCAGCCACAGAAGCTAAGCTCACAAGTCTATAATTTCCAGGCAAGGATTTTGAACCCTTTTTGAATTGTCAGGTATACTCTATCATTCATACTGCCGCCGGAACCCACTTCCGGGTTCACGGCGCTTAGCCCCGCCCCTTTTCTCTGACGCGGTCCTTCCACGATACTTAGGAAGACCGCGCCAGATTCAAAGGGCTGGATTATTCACGCAGGTACTGCATTGAGATCAGCTGCT